TTCAGAATTTCAGAAAACTTTTAGGTATGCAGTTTTATTGCCCATTAAATTTTATTATTATTTTTTTATTTATTATTATATTTTTATTAAGCTTCTATTAAAAGGGCATCATAAACTAAACCTGCGGCTAGTTAATCTATAAAATGTTGCTTGGGAATCCAATGAATAATTAGTTTAAAGAAAAAATTACCTACCTAAACTTCGGCTACTTTAATTGACGAACACAGATATGTACATACAATATGCATGCATATGAATATGTGCCCATAGTTTTGAAAGTAGCCTGATTCACATCACACCTTTTGTGCTTAAATGACCGTTTACTTGTAACCGAAACCTGCTATCGACATAAACTGACGACAAAAACTTTTACCTTTGCTTAATGAATTCGAACGAATAACCGACGATTTCAGATGCAGGTAAATTACCATGTAATCACAAAAGGTCGGTCTGATGTGACTTACACCACTTTCAAAATTATGGGCACATACGCATTCAATGTAACTATGATACATTTGGCCACTGACCTGTACTCTTTTTATTGTTGTTATCTTTTATAGTTTTATAGGTCCTCTTCATGTTTCGCATTTTACGGTCCAGTGTGTCATCATCTTCAACGAGAAAGCCCGCCGTCCTCATGTCAGCGAGAATATCCATCCACAAATTCTTCTTTGGGCGTGTGTGAATCGGTAACAAAGTTCTATGGGGAAACTGTTGAATAATATTTTTACTATGGTGAGAAAGTTTTGCCAATCTGCTGTGTGAAATGAAGTATTTATTGACAACAGTAAATTTTTGATAACCGCAAATTTATGCAGAATAAAATACTACAAATTGAAGTGAAATTAATATTTTAAGAAAAAATCTGCCATCGTTGATTGCAATTCATCAATTTAAGCTTTTATTTAAAGAAAAGTTACGCACATCAACAATCTTTGCGATTGTCAGAATTTTCTATGCATTTGTCAAAAATTTCACTAGCCTCATGAGCTACTCAAATTTTATTCACCTCATAGTTTTCAAAAATTTACTCGCCGCGGACTTTGTTACCGATTCACACATGCTCTTTTTAATTTTTGGATCACGAAACTTATCTTTCCTTTTTCTGTATTCCTCTAACAAAAATCTCGTAGCTTCTCCATGCCACTTGAATTTGGAGTTCCCTGGTGATCGTATAATTAAAAGTCATATCAAATCACTTAGCGTATTCAAATAAACATTGCAGCATCCCACTTTCAGATGTTGTGTTTATGTCGGAAGCAACTCCTACCAATTCTGGTGGTGCAACATATCCCTTCGTATACTCCTTCAAAAACTTTTATCTGAGGATAAAGTCGGATATATAAAAATAACAAGCTGCAACTTAAGCAAGCAATTTAGGCACCCTGAAATTGTGCATATGGAAACTGTGCATACGAAATAATGCATATGAAAAACACCGAAATAATGCATACGAAAAAAAACCGAAATAATGCATATATGCACAGTATCGGTTGAAAACCGAAATAATGCATATGAAAAAAAAAACTAAATAATGCATATATGCACAGTTTAGGTTGAAAACCGCAATAATGCATATGAAAAAACCGAAATAATGCATACATGCACACTTTCGTTTGAAAACCGAAATAACGCATATGAGAAAAACGAAGTAATGCATACATGCACAGTTTCGGTTCAAAACCGAAATAATACATATGACAAAAACCGACGTAATGCATACATGCACAGTTTCGACTCGAAACCGAAGTAATAGATTGGCGCTTACACATATCTACCTTAGTGTTTGGTCGAGCCTCTCCTCCGACTTGTGGCGTGCGCCTTGATGTTGTCACACAAAGCGGAGGGACCTACAGTTTTACGCCGACTCCGAACGGCGACTGTATTTTTATGAGAAGTTGTTTTTTTGGCATTGCCTGCCAAGGGACGACCGCTGTTAAGAAAAAACCTTTTTCTATTTTTTTTGCGATGTTTATTTGACCAGGGCTTGAACCCAGGTGCTGATGAGTGAGAGCGCGCACAGCCGCCGACTGACCGAAGTAATGCATATGACAAAAACCGAAATAGTGCATACATGAAAACGAACTTTTTTCTGAGTAGAACTCTCCTTTCTGTGTTGCCGGAAAAGCAGGGCGGAAGTATTTTTGAGCAGAACTTTTTTCTGCGTAGGGGGCCTTCGGCCGCGCTTAGGGATTATAACCCTTACTAAGTAGAATTCTCCTTTCTGTGTTGCCGGAAAAGGGGGCCGGAAGTATTTTTGCGCAGAACTTCTTTCTGCGTAGGCGGCCTTCGGCCGCGCTTAGGGATTATAACCCTTACTAAGTGGAATTCTCCTTTCTGTGTTGCCGGAAAAGAAGGGCGGAAGTATTTTTGCGCAGAACTTCTGTCTGCGTAGGCGGCCTTCGGCCGCGCTTAGGGAGTATAACCCTTACTAAGTAGAAGTAAATAATTCATATTAGAAACAAGTAAGAAAGTCTAAGTTCGGGCGGAGCCGAACATTAAATACCCGGCGCAAATATTAAATATATGATTTTCACCTTTCTGAAAGCTACCGCTACTTGGTAAGCCGGGATGTATCAATTTCAATATTGACGTTTAAAGCATTTCTAAAATTTACCGTTATATGAAAAGCCATAATTTTAGTCCGATTTCAATAATTTTCATCGTTTTGCTTTTATGTAGCAAGCACAATAAAAATACCGAGTTTGGTACAAATTGGTAGAACGGTTACCGAGATACATATATGTGATCATAAGTGGGCGGTGCCACGCCCATTTTTCAAAATTTTATTGTAGACGTATTTTCTGGTAAGGAATTGTTGCAAGCATCAATTTTGAATAAATTGGCTTTAATATTTACTGATTTATCGAAGATTTCGTATTTCTCCAAATTACCGTTATATGAGATGTGGGCGTGGTTATTGTCCGATTTTAAAACTTTTCGGCCATTTGGTATCCTGTAGCAAGGCCAATAACTGTGCCAAGTTTGGAAGAAATCGGTGCAGCGGTTGCCAAGATATACACATGTACCCATAAGTGGGCGTGGCTACGCCCATTTTCCAAAAATTTATAACATTCTTATTTTTCGTCTAAAAATTATTGTAAATATCAATTTTGAGTTAATAATCTTCAGTAGTTACTAAAATATCGCAGTTTTCGTATTTCTGAAAATTACCGTTATATGGGAGGTAGGCGTGGTTATTGTCCGATTTTTCCCATTTTCAATACCATCCGTCCTACGCCCGAAAGAAGTACACGTACCAAGTTTCGTTAAGATATCTTAATTTTTACTCGAGTTATCGTGTGCACAGACGGACGGACGGACGGACGGACGGACGGACGGACGGACGGACGGACAGACAGTCACCGCTTAATCGATTTCTCTTTTCATCCTGATCATTTATGTATACATTTGTCTATATCTATCTCGATTCGTTTTGCCTGTTACAAACAACCGTTATGTGAACAAAGTTATAATACCCTTGTGCACAAGTGCGCTCGGGTATAAAAACGAAATTATCCATATGCATACTTTCGTTAGAAAACCGAAATAATGCGTATAACAAAAACCGAAATAATGCATGCATGCACAATTTCGGTTCAAAACCGAAATAATGCATATGGCAAAAACCGAAATAAGGCATGCATGCACAGTTTCGGTTGAAAACCGCAATAATGCATATGTGAAAGACGAAGGTATGCATACATGCACAGTTAATAATAATAATAATAATTAATAATTTTTAATAATCTGCCTTATCCTGAGTTTCACCCGAAAATGTTTATTCCGCTCATAGTAAATACATGGAAACCAAAAGTGAAAAGTGAACTGGTTCGGGGAAAATTAAACTCATGACTTTGCTCGTTATTTTTTCGAGTTTTATAACTGCGTGGTGTGGGTGGTAGAACGACCAATATTTGCCTCTAAAAGATATCTAATGGGAAGGCGTTTCTTTCATATAGTTGAGGGTGAGATATTCGTTTAACACATTTTCGTAAAGGGATTTTAGATCGCCTTTTCAGAGCAAATTTCTTTCCATGCTTAGGCACTGACTAAGGAAGATTTGGTTTGGGAAGCTTGGCTTGTTTATGCGGGAAATGCATAAGTCGCTTAAACAGTTATCTTTAGGGATGACGTGACCTAGCAAGTAAAGAAATTTGGCTTCATCATTCGTCTCATTTTCCCCGAACCGGTTCACTTTTCAAATTTTAATTCCATATATTTACTACGAGTGCAATAAAAATTATCAGGTGAATTTTTTTCCGAACGAAATTCAGGATAAGGCAGATTGTATTTTAATTCGCTAAGCCATAATACATTCGTATAAATACTTATATACACTGAGGGAAATAATGCATAGTAAAAATTAATAGTTTAATTACTATGGGCGGATGACAAATGTTCGGGTGAAGTTTTTTTCAGGTGAAACTTAGGATAAAAGTGAGTACATAACGTGCATTGCGTTGCCGTCACCGTCACCCGCAGTTGTCAAAAAAGCTGATTCGGTATATTTGTATGAAGTAAGTTACATGAACAAGCTGATGGTGACGGTGCCGCACCAATTAGCTCAACTCTCAATTTTGCTTATTCGATTGCGTCAAATGACAACTATTCAGTGTTTTGTTTACATATTTGAACGTAAATTTTTCCAGTTTGTGAAAATTTTAATATTTATGGAAACACGAAATGTAAAAAGTAATGTAGAAAAACCTAATAAAAGAAGTGAAAAAGTAAAATGCAAATTTTGCAAAGAGTATCAGCGAGTTAGAAATTTTTCGGGCATAATGTCAAAAGAATTGTGTGTAACTTGACGCATAAGCATCGTTGACGGTGATGTTGACGGTGACGGCGACGCTGTCGCAATGGATGGTATGTACCTTCACTTTAAGGCAGTATGGCTTTATCAAAAATATTTTGAAAGGCAACCCTTTGATTTCGACATTTAATGACACAGACAACTTTCGTTTAAGTTTTTTTAATTCGTTTTGAACGATGTCCAAATGCAAGAGCCGTTTGGTCGGGCCCGCGTCTATCTCACCGTGCTGTTGCTGTTGGAAATTTTGCTGGGCTTGGCTATTATTATCGTTACGGCCATTTATCAACGCATTCTGGGCGCTTACATGGCAGACGTTGAACGAAAAATGCTAGGCGGCCAATTTTTCAACACCTACATTCTTGGGTTCCAGCTCATGGTGGTTTATGCCTGCAGTATTGCTATGTGGTCCTCTCTATGGTCGCGCCGCTTTTCGTCTAACGTCAACTTACTCCTGAACCTTTGGATGTTTTTTTGTTTTGTGGTAGTTTTTTGTGGACTCGGCACAATTTGGTCATTGATAACTTGCGCTGATGCATTAGAAAATACAGCGGAAATGTCGCTACTTAAAGGAATTGACCTATACTACACATGCCCGGAATGGAAACTTCTGTGGGACGGCCTGCAATATCATAAAGAGTGCTGTGGCGTGCATAGCTATAAGGACTGGATGAATGCCTCGTGGATGCCAGAAGAAGCGATCCAATGTCAACCGGCGGGCAGGTAAATATGTAGATTGTGCACTTAGTAATTCGAAATTATTTTTCGGCATTTTATGTATGCAGCGGAGAAACAGCTTTAGCACCATACGCCTGTTGCAAACACACTTGTGCTACTTGCTTTGAGAATTACATTCCACGCCCCAGTAATAGTCGCATTCCATATTTGACTTTGTCACAGATAACCACAGATGGATGTTTGCCGCTATTCACCAACAAAATATGGGAGATCCTTTATGGTTTAACGGCACTAGTTTTGATAGCGTTTAAGTTGGACGTAAGCTTATAATGTAGGAAACGTTTGGAAGAGACTGCGCTATTCTAGTCGAATGTTTTTCAGATCATCATTTGCTGTTTGGCGAAATATATAATACGCAAACAAGCAGAAGTCAACTGTTGTAGTCGTGAAAATGTTGGTTGCGATGGTGATGACCGGCCGATAGTGGTTGTGGTGCATTTTGATGTAATCTTTTTTGTACACTTATAAACATTTTTTCATTTCAGAAATATCCAGCAAACCATTATGTCAAATTCGATGGCGAGGAAATTAATGCTCAATTGACATCAAAGTTCAGGAACGAAAGTGAAGGTATGAGCGAACCTTGCAACTGTTGCAGCTGTGACAATATATTGCGTGGCTATACTGTTAGGCAGGAGGTAATGCATATGTCAACACCCACACAACGCGCAACGCACTTTTGTAATTGCAATGGTGGTGGCAATGAGTCCCGAATACTGCATTAAGTAGGATTAAGTGCCATTTCTATATTTGAATTTTATTATATTTTCATGTATTTAGTTTTACATGTATTTTGAATTTTTTTATACACAACAAACCACTACTTTTGTCCAAATATTATGGGAATTCTCTATGTCTCGCCAGATTGCACGGTATAACGAAAAGCATTAATCCTCGAGAACACCCCATTGCAAAATTCTAATATGCATATGCAGCAACGTATATACTTACAAGTATGGAATCCTATGCCCTTATTGTCGATTTTCTATCTAACAACGGATATGCCTACCAAACAGCGGATGTGCCTGCCAAATTAAAAAGCATGATGGCGGCAGTATTTGAGAGGCACGTTCGATTATACGAACGACATTGGACTGAAAGAAATTGAAGATGAATGACATGAATTATGAATTATTATGAAAAAGCAGAATGTCGAACCAAAACATAATTGGAAGAATCTGAAAATGCCAATGACGTTGAAATGAAAGAAAAGTAAAATAGCGAAATATCGAAAAATAAGTAATAGATGACAGGCACGTATTCAAGGGTTTCGTGTAACAAAGAGTTTTTTTATGTTTCTCAATTCAGTATTTAACCCAATTCGACTCCGTGTTGCCATATGGCAACGCAAAATACATCATCTATGGAAGGGTGTAAAAGAAAAACTGATCTTAAAAATGCTTATATGTACGTTAACTAATTGCTAAAAGGTGTCTCTTTCGAAACGCTTACGCATCTGTCAGCGCCTTGCTGTTTATCGAGCGTAATACACGTGTGTTTTTTAAACAACGTAAGAAGTGGCAGAAAACCATCGAAAAGTTATATATCGTTATCGAAAGGCCCTAACTCATATAGTCGCTGAAATACATAAAAGACGTTATGAACTAAAATTGTTTATTGCTTAAAATTTTGTGGGCACTTATAATTCGACGAAATGCACCATAATCATCAAAAAAGGAATTTTTGATTTTTACTTTGTAACGAAGCGTTTTTGCTAACCCCGATGCTTTTTCTAAAATGCTGGGGTATACTCGCCGTGTCCAGGGTTCGTTACAATAAATTTGTAGTTTCAGGGCTCTGGTAAATCGTAATTTATTATTTAATTTTCCTTAATTTCTATAAAAAGAACATATAACAAATAACAATTTGAAACATTCGGTTGCGTCACTTGCAGTGTCTGGGTAACGGCTCCTTGTTCTGTTATGAGCCCGTTAGGCTGTAGTGGCGTGGCTTTAGTACTGGTGGGCAGCGCTCTGCTGCCGCCGCTGAGTGGCGCGCTGCTAACGTCTATAAGTTGTGTTCGGACCGTGTCGGTATGTAGCGCTCTTGCAAGGTGGGTTGCGCTCTGGTCGTGCCTGTGAGTGGCACTCTAACACCGTCGGTGAGTGGCGCTCTCATGACGCCGGTATGTGTCTCTTTTGCAATGTCAGAGAGTAGCGCTCTGGTCGTGCCGGTGAGTGGCGTTCTAATAACGCTGCTGGGAGGCACTCTGTCGACCTTGACAAGTGGCGCTCTGTTCGCGCCGGAGAGTATCGCGCTAATGACGCCGGAGACTACCGTTCTACTCGCGCCGTTGGGCGGCGCTCTGGCGACGTTGACAAGTGGCGCTCTGTTCGCCACTTGTAGGCGCTGTCGACGTCCGTCTGCTAACGGCGGTGCTGACTTCGGGCGAGCGGGTGTCGCCCGTACGCAGTTCCACGAGACGCTGTGGTGAGAGCGTGTGTAGCTTGTGGCGCTGCCACTGGGAAGGTGACGTCCAGCCCGACGCTCAATCCGGTGCAGAAGAAATCACCCTACCAGCAGCTGTTGCAGAAGTGGAATCAAGCCTGACGCTCGAGCCGGTGCAGATGAAGTCACATCTTGCCAGTAGCCGTATGTTTACGACTGCAGTCTCGTGCTGACTGACTGGTTTCTTGTCGTGCTACTCCTTTAATATGCTATGTGCTTGATGTTGCGTGGTCGCGCGGCTACATGTTGCTGTGTGATGTTGCGTTGCCATGGCAACGAAGAGGTTGTCGAGTGTTGCTAGGACTTGTGTTGCTGTTGTGTGACTGGTTTGGTTGGTGGTGTGGGAGTTTGTGTGGGCTAAATTCCTTGGGGACATTTAGTCCTCACCCTCCCCCCCCCCCCCCCTTACTTGGTGGTCTGGAACTCCCCTGGCTCTTGGGTGGATGTGCGCGCCCCAATGGCATACGGTTACCCGGTAGTCTTTGGTACTGAACCTCAGCCGTGGTTTGCATACGCGTGCGGTGATGTCTCTGTGGCTCCGACGGATTCTGTCCGCTATTGTCGGGAACTGGTCTGATGCCGGTCCCTCAGCGTCGCTGATGAGGATTCTTATTCCCTCTGGTGGCACTGTCGACTGCTTCTCCGTTCGGGATACGGGCTGTTGAGGAGATAGGAATGACCTGACTAGTGTTCGTTGGCCGGTGATGGCGGCAGTCGAATCAGCGAGGCGATAGCGGGTGTGTCGTAGTGTAGTTGCGAGTGTGGTAGTGGTGGCGGCGGCTCTGCGACTTGGCGTCCACGTGCGTGCTGCCGAAACGTGGTCAGTATCTGCACCCGCTTCAGGGCCGTCATACCGGCCGAGAACGGCTCGGCGATATACCCTGGTGCCCCTTTGCCTTGTCCGAAGAAGCGCATGACCCTTTGGATCGTCTATAGGGTATACACGCCGTAATCCCCATCGTTTTCTTATTGCGGTACCCTCGGGTGGACTCCTTGAACCTCGAAGCCCACCCCGCCGTACCTCTGGAGTATACCCACTGTAGGAACTCTCCCAATGTTGCTGTTGCCTGGACGACTCTGCCCCTCACCCTAGAATCCACGGTCCACAGGTAGCGTTCCTTCCAGCATTCTATATCGAGGAGATGGTGGGTGGTCTCCCGGTTCGCAAGGACCAGTAGGTACCAGTGTCCAGCCGTGTTGTGGGGCGCTACAACCGCCCTCTTGCCGAACAGGTCCGTCCTTCGTAACCAGCGATGGATGCGCCGATAATTCTCTTCCGGATTCCCCTGTTGCATTAGTTGCCATACCACAAAGGTGACAGGTAATAAGTCAATTGACCTTATTTCCCACCCTGGTGCGAAATAAAGTCAACAAAAATTTGGAAATAAAGTCATTGACGCTATTTCCCCATTCAAATGCAAATATTGTCAACAATTCTTAAAGTATGTCGATTCATAGAAAAAAATGTTGTTCTTACAATAAACATTGCCCCGTAAGTGTGGTTTTTTTAATAGATGAAAAAGGTTATTGCCAAATCCTCAGTGTTGTGATATTAATCCTCACAAAATCATGAACTACCACTAATTGATTTTATTAAAAAAATTTAAATTACGAATATGTAAAAACACGATGCGAAAAACTAAACGCCTGCGCACAGCTGGAATACGAGAAATATTTGAAGAAAGAGTGTAGAAATGATCCATAACTTGCAAAACATGTTTCATTTCCACAAAAATAAAGCGAACACTATTAAATTGAAGAAACAGTCCATGTCCAAAAACCCCGGAGGAACACTGAAAGAATTCTGTGTTTTAAATTAGCATATTTTGAACGAACTCGGATTCTCTAAGGTGGAAAAGAAACCAACTTTTCTATAAGGAAACAATTATAGAAAAAGAATTTTCTTACACTGTATTCATTTCTCCGCCAGCAATTTGTGACGACATCATTTAAAAGCAGCAAAGGAGAACGACGGACCTATTTGTTAGATAGCACATTCAACGAGCCAATGTGCTAAAATGCGGGCATAAACAATTATTGATTATTAATATCGGAACCGAGATCATATAAGTTAATTGATTGGTTTTCACACACTTTTGAAACACAAATTATATGCATTTTTACTGCAGACAAGTTGTTGCCCCAAAATACAGCGGAAATCTTCCAATCAGGGCTGCCAACTATCCTTAGTTATGAGGTGCCTTAGTATTGAGGATAAAAAAGTGCCAAAATATGCCAAATAGAAAAATAAAAGCGCTAAAAAAGGTGTTATTCCTTTTAATCATTCACATTTAGCAATAAAATAAAGCTACATTTTCCAAACAAAAAGGCAATGATAAAATAAGATAAACCGGTTGAATAGACTTTATAAATTAGACCATTTTAGTTGAGAAAAAGAAGTGCACGCAATGGATTTCACAAAAATGTATTGAAATGTAATTTTTTTTTACAAAAGTGCCATTTTGGCACTTTGTGCCAAATTGAAAAATTTAGTGCCATTTGAAGTAAAATAGGGACAAATAGCACGGTTTGAGCCAAGTTGGCATCCCTGTTTCCAGTAACTTACAAATATAAAAATGTGAAATACCGAGGGCTTGAATTCATTAATACCGTATATCTGCAATTTGCGCAAAAACTAATTTGTGATTTTAGAAACCATCTGGGACTTATTAAATACCTGTCGTTATATAAGGTAGTATTAATATCACTGATGACAGTTGAAGCTTAGGTGGATTTTTATATCAGAATCTCATCTTTGTGAAAAGTGTGCAGATAGAGGGTATTATTGAATATAAGCCCTCGTTGTTTAAAATAATAAAAATTTTATTTCAACGTATACAAAAAATAAATCTATCTGCGTTGCAGCACGGCGGGAGACGGGGAAGGGGGGCCGCGGCGTAGCGTGACGTGATGTACGCAGCGGCCGCGCGGGTACGCGGACCGCCGCGAAGCTAAGCAAATTTAACGTTTGAAAGAGAAATAATGTCAATGGATTTCATTTCGGTTTTAAAAAGGTGATAATGTAAATTGACTTTATTTCGCACCAGGGTGGGAAACAAAGTCAATTGACCTTATTTCCGTTGATCTTATTACCTGGCACCACCACGAAAGAGCTGAGTATAGTGGCCCGTGGCCCCAGATCGGCCTCTAGCCCTCTCGCCCATGCATCCATCACCGCGTCCGTCAACCATCGCGTTCCTTCTAACGGTCGCAGATCCACCGGGTACAGTGTGATGCCGCCTGGCGGAAAGGTCAGTACCGGGCCTTGCTCCTCCCG